CTGCTGTGATGTGGATTTGTGGTGTGTGTGGAAACTGTAGTGCCATGCTGTGGCTCTGCTGACCTCAAAGCCCCTGTTGGCTGGGTGCCATGCCCCGGGGCACATGCAGGTGTCAGGGAAACCCCGTCTGGGAAGGAGAGGGCACTTCGTCCCCTAGGAGCTGCTCCTGCCTGAGCGGTGCCCCAAGAATATGTGCTCTGCCCTTTTGGATATGCTGGTTAGCAGGGGGTTCAGGCAGCAAGAACCCAGGGAGGTCAGTAGGGGTTGGGGAGCAGGGGAGCAGCCTCCTGGCCAGGTACCTCCCCTCTGTGCTGTAACATCTGTCCTGGTGGGGCAGCTGTGCCGTGGAAGCATCTGAGGGAGCCTGGGCAGTGACAGCAAGTGGGAGGCCCCATTACTTGGGGGTTACCTGGAAAGCCTGTCACTCACAGGGTGTGCTTTGCCAGCCCATCAAACCATGGTCCAGGAGCCTAAGTCATGGGTGGTTTTGATCTGCTGGAAGGGGAGGGAGTCACCGATCAGAACTGGGGTCACTGGCCATCAGGAGCGACCTAGGGGATGAGCCCTAAGGGCCCGGTCCTCAGACTCTAGGCTCAGCACACCCTCAAGATGGGGCGTTCCCTTCTGTTGCTGCCCAGGCAGGCATGTGGGGGTGTTTCCCAGAGGCGGGGACTGCTCTTGCACAGTGAAGATGTCCATGACCAGGGGTGGGTGGGGGCTGGATGAGGCTCTGAGAAGGTCTCTTTGAAGGAGATGGCTTGTGGTTTCCTGTCTGATTGGCCCCTTTCCCAGGTCGCCTCAGGCTCTCTCAGGGGACCGTGTTTCCACGTGTACATCTAGGGTGGTGTCTGGAGCCTCCTGTTCTCCCTGCAACAGGTGGGGGCAGACCCCTGGCCATCCCAACTCCCCAAGGTGAAAGCACATTTTGTATCAGCCCTAGGGAGGGTGGGATTTGCACACTTGCCAGAGGGGCCCTACTCTAGGCAGAACCCTGATCCTCAGCAGCAGTGGCATCCAGCTTGCATCTCAGAGGGCTGGGTTCAGAAACTGCCCACTGACCGCCAGCCCTCCACCCAGGATGTGGGGCTCTGATGAGGAAGCCAGAGCCCACACCGCCCGCCTGGGACCAGCACGTGGCTGATGGCATGGGTTCAGGCCTCTGCGTGCTGGGTAGAATCAGTGCCCAGAGAAGACCCCAGGTCTCTGCTGTTCAGTGGCACCCAGCATGGTGCCAGACCTTTGGTTCCACAGCCAGGCTTGCTGGGCACCTGGCATGGAGGTGTGGGTGAGGAGCCAGTCCCCAGGGGTCTGTGTGGCCCAGGGAGACCCAGCATCGTCTGGCACGGAGCCCCATCCCAGCCCCACCTGGGCCTCTTGCGTAGGGGTCTCAGAAGGTACTCACGATTCTGGTGATCTGGCCTCTGCTGAGTGGCAGATGTGAGCCCCTCTGTGGAAGACTGGGGGGAGGCACCCTGGGGTCCTTGTCAGAGAACAGCCCCTGGGAGGACGGGGCTGCTGTTCCCCAAGATGCTCTGTGTGGACCTGGTCCCTGAGAAGAAAAGCCACTTCAGAACTGGACCATCGGCTTGCCACCCTCCAGTGCCCAGCTGCCCCTCCCACCCATCGTGCACACCACTCAGGGGCCCCTGAAGCTCTTAAATTGGGCATGAGGTATTTCCTGCTCCGCAAGCAGATTTATGATGTGACAACCTGTGAGGCTGGCTCTAAGCAGAAAGGACAGACATCTGGGAGTCTGGCACTGCTGTGCTTATGAACAGGTCCCTGGCCTGTCCGTCTGCAACAGAGCAGGCCCGTGGGATTTAAGGCCCAGGAAGAGGTGCTCAGGAGACCTCTCCACCATCAGAAAGCCTCTGACTCACAGGCCAGGATGTGCAGGTCAAAAGGGAGACAGAAAATGAGGCCAACGGAGGAGTTCAGGGTGTAAACAGAAGCTGCTCCAGGCAGGGCAGGAGCAGCCTCTGCACAGTCTCCACTGCAGGGGCTGTCCTGCATCACCCTGGGCCAAGTGGAGCCTCAGGGTCCAGGCATGGGGTCAAGCCTAACTGGTGCCTGCCTGCTTGCTGCTCTGTGGGGATAAGGTGCTGTTTCTACCCTAATGCAGGATGGCTGAGCTGAGCTCGTGAAGGCAGACCTTCCCAAAGTCTGTAGTTCTGGCTCTGTGATGGGGGAAGGCAGAGCCCACCTGCCAGCCCAGGTGTGAGCCACCTCCATCACCTCCGTGAGAGTGTCACTGCTCTGGGCTGGCAATGCTGGCACATGCCCAGCCTTGTTCAATGCAGGCCTTCCCAGGGCATCAGCCCAGACCTGGGGTGTGGGTGGGGAGGGCAGCCCAAGGTCACACACAGCACCTAGGCGCCCCAAGTAGGTATCACCCAATGCTTCGGCCCATACACAGACACATTTATGGTCAGGTGTGACCACAAATTTGTGATGCCTCAGAGATGTTTTCATGGTAGCAATGGCACATTCTGGGCTGAGTGGGCACCTGGTCTGGCACTATCACCCAGGGATGGGCCTGTTTATGGAATGGGTGTCCTGGGATGTCACCAGAAACTGTGGTTGTCCACACCATACCTGCCTACTGTCCACTTGCAGGGGGTGAGAAAACAAGCCCCCGTGATTCTGTGCACATGTCTGCTCCATCTCCATGGGGATGTGTGCTTGCTTGTGCTTATACGAGATGCTGCTCAATTGGGAAACGACTGACAAAGCACACTGCTCCCCAAGTGCAGGGTGACAGCTCTGGCCTTGTGCGCACCGTGAGGCCCATGCAGCCTGCAGGAGCGCCCTTGTCCTCATTTGCATTGACGTGATTGTGTGCAGCCACCCCAGGCCCCTTCCTGGTTAGCCCTCCGCTCCTCACTACCTCTCTTTCCTGTGAACTTTCCGACTGAGCTTCTCTGATGAACCCACCTCAGCTGCTCTGGTGTTGCATTTGCCGAATCTTGGTTTTGTTATTTCTGTGGTGCTTATGGGGCAAGTTCAGCCATCCAGAAACCTTCCTCCACCCCTCCTGCCACATGCTGCCATGTCACTGGTCTTGCCCACATGTGTGATAAACCTCAAGTCCAATGCTGTCATGTTTGTGTTTTCCGTATATGTGGCAGCTGCCTGTCCTCTGCAGATCCGGATGATGGAAAAGCCTGATGCCCCACACTCTGCCCTGCACAGGCCTCCTTTCTGTCAGCAGTTTCCCTGTCCCTGAAGAGGCCCTTGAATGTTTAGCCTGCTCATGTGCAGTCGTTGTAGCTTCTGCATGCTTGAAATGACTTTATTTCACCATTTTTGAAAGACACTTTTGTCAGGTACGAATTCTAGTTTGACAGCTTCTCCTTTTAGGGTGTCACAGATGAGATGTCTCCCGCTCCCAGTGGGGGACCTGCAGCCACCCCCAACCACTCACCTGTTTGGTTTTGTTATTTCTGTGGTGCTTATGGGGCAAGTTCAGCCATCCAGAAACCTTCCTCCACCCCTCCTGCCACATGCTGCCATGTCACTGGTCTTGCCCACATGTGTGATAAACCTCAAGTCCAATGCTGTCATGTTTGTGTTTTCCGTATATGTGGCAGCTGCCTGTCCTCTGCAGATCCGGATGATGGAAAAGCCTGATGCCCCACACTCTGCCCTGCACAGGCCTCCTTTCTGTCAGCAGTTTCCCTGTCCCTGAAGAGGCCCTTGAATGTTTCAGCCTGCTCGAGTGCAGTCATTGTAGCTTCCGCATGCTTGAAATGACTTTATTTCACCATTTTTGAAAGACACTTTTGTCAGGTACGAATTCTAGTTTGACAGCTTCTCCTTTTAGGGTGTCACAGATGAGATGTCTCCCGCTCCCAGTGGGGGACCTGCAGCCACCCCCAACCACTCACCTGTACAGAGCCTGCCATCTTCCTCTGGTTGCCTTCAGGAGCTCTTGCCTGCCTCTGGCACCGTGCAGTCTGGTTATGTCTGTTTTTGGGGTTCACGCATCTTCTAGGGCTGTGCGTTTGTAGTTTTGTCAAATTAGGGAAATACTCAGCCATTGTTCCTTTACAATTGTGTTGACCCCAACTTTGGGAACTCTAATTACACATTTATCAGGCTGCTTGGTGTTGTCCTGTAGCCCACTGATGTTCTTTTGACCCCGTGTTCCATTTGGGACAGTTGCTACTGACATGCCTTCAGTTCAGATAATTTCCTCTGCTGACTTAACTCCTATGCATTTTATCTTAGGCTGTGGTTTTCTACCCCTCTAAGTTCAGCCTGGGTATCATTTTGTATCCATCCTGTCCTATTTAACTTTGTGGATATCAGGGACACAGAACAACCCACAGCTGACAGCACCATATCACTTCTGGGCTGGTTTTATTTGACCAATCATTCTCGTTATGGTTTATGCTTCCTGCTTTGCTGCAGGCCTGTCTCTGGATGTCTGGCAATGGGAATTCTCTGTGTTGGGTGTGGGATATTGTCACCCTATAAATTTCCTGGTGCTTTGCTCTGGGACATAGTTAGGTTACCCGAGAACAGCTGGATCCTCAGGGCATGGTTGGAGGGTGGGTCCGGGCAGTACTGGGTCCCCCTGTGGCTGCCCTGTGTCCTGTGAGTTTCCAGGGTTCCATCAGGCATCACGTGAGCACAGGGGAGTGTTCTAGTTCTGCTAAAGCCTCCAGCCTCATGTGGCCTCCCACTCTGCACAGGCCTCTGCTCAGTCCTGCAAGCCCAGCTGCCTTTGCTCATCTCAGCTCGGGCAGCGTGCCGGGCCCCTCCTGGTCCCTCATCCCTGCACGGGCCCTGGGGACTCTCATGGAGGAAATCAGCATAGCTGCAGGGCTCTCTTGGCTTCCAGTCCTTTGATGCTGGATGTCCAGGCCTTAAAACCTCTTGTTTCATATCTTTTGTCTGCTTATGTCTTATTTTGTCTTGTCTTTGTTTTAAATCTGTTCCGTTACCACATCTTAGATGAAACTGGAAGTTTTTTTTTTTTTTATAAAAGAGAAATTCTAAATTGTTTGAAACTTTTGGAAGTACATAACACCAAAAGAAATAAATGAACGTGTGGGCACCCCCACCCAAACCAGCTGCAGGAGGCTGAGTGTGCATGGCTCCCACGTGCAAATGTACTCACATGTGGAAGGCTGACTCCCTGCCACCTGCTCCTGCTCATCCTCCTCGATGCAGGCGGGAATGTCACATGGCCAGTGGCAGTGGGCGGAGCTCAGTGGTCCCGCGTGGGCTGGGCAGCCAGGTCCATGCAGGCACCATGGCCCCCGGGTGGAGGGCTGGCTGCTGGAGGAGGATGTGCTGCTCTCTGAGATGGTGGAATGTGGCCTCTTGAAGGGGGCGGCCTGGCCACCGGGAGCAGGCACAGCTGTGGACATTTGGGTCTGTGACTCTGGAGAGGACAGAAAACACATGAGTCTGGCCTCTGCTCCAGAAGTGCAGCCAGATTCAAGAACGAGAGGCCCATCCAGAGCACCGGCCCAGTTCCTCTCCCTGGGGTCACCCAGGCATGGTGTGGGCCTTACCATCCACCCTCCTGCTGGCCCACAGGGCCCACCGCACATGTGGGGCCTGGGTCTGAGTGGGCAGGCATGGTTAGAGTGAGGGCCAAGGTGCCTCACCTGTCTCCTTCGTGATGTAGTCGGCAGCCTGGTCACTTCTGGCTACATGGCTGGGCTTGATGTCCACAAACAGCTTGTTGCCCATCCCCATACACACCACCTCCTGCATTCTGAGTTCTAAGATGAAAGAATGTGGCTCATTCCCCAAGCAGTTCGTTGAGTATGAAGCCGCCAATGATGCTCTACACCCAGAACCGTTAGGCCAGGAGCATGTCAGGCTGGCCAGTCCTGCTCCCTGAGTGTTCTTGGGGCCTAGAGGTGGCGGTGCCTCCGACCTGGCCTCAAAGTAGCCCTTTTCAGGGACCAAGAGAAAGGTGAGGGGCCTCGGAGACTGGGTGTCCAGCGGGAGAGAAGGGGAGATACCCTGTCTGCTGGTGAAGAGCGGTGAGCTGGGCAGCAGGTGCAGCCTGCAATGGGGACAGACGGGATGGTGGGGGTCAGTGGGGACAGCAAGGGACAGCAGAACACAGAGGGACTTGGGGACAGCAGGAACGGTGGGGGAACTAGGGGACAAAGGGAGGTAGAGGGGACAATGGGGGACAATGAGGACAGCAGGAGACAGAGGGGAACAGTTGGGGACAGAGGCCCCCAGGCCAGGCACACATGCTGTGTGCTGAGTGCTGGGAGGGGCGTGAGCCCAGGTGACCATGTGATGAGGTGGCCCCTGGAGACCCAAGCAGAGGAAGGAAGGCAATGATCAGAGCCAGGTGGGGCAGGGGGATGGGCAAGGGCAGGGGAGGCTGGGGAGGGAGACCCCGTCAGGCACCACAGCTTCCAGCTCCTGCAAAGGACTGACCCACTGGAAGGGGTTTAGGAGCCATTGGACTTCCTGAGCAAAGCCGCCCCAAGCACTGATCCAAGCCCAGACCAAAGTCCAGCCTAAACCCTGCCCCCACTCACCCCAAAACCTAGTCTAAACCTGCCCCAAGCCCAGCCCCCTGACATCCCACCACCTCTGTTCCTCAGTGCCTACCACCACAGGATCTTCCTGATCACGTCGGTACAGGTGGTCTTGGCCTCCACAGAGCTGGCCTGGAGAATGTAGGTGTCCTGGGATTTCCACCTTTGGAACCAGATCTTGAACCTCAAACCGCTGTCGCCCACATTCTCCTTCATCCTGATCTCTGCTGTCTGCATCACAAGCCCCGAGGGGCAGCACTGTCAGGAACTCCAACGCCCTCCCTTGAGCAGCTGACCACATTCTGGCTGACCGTTTGACCCCAGCACCTCAGTGCTGGAGATTTGCAGACACCAGGTGGTATGGACAAGGCTGGGCCAGGGGCTCCCATGGATGGGATGGATGGAGTGCCCCCGTCTGCACTGGCTCCCTCTCGGAGCCTCCATTTCCCCACTGGAGAAAATGATGGTGGAATGGGAAGGCTCTATGGAGCCCTCTGGCTCTCACCCAGGGCTGCAGGACCCCTGTGATGTCCCTCAGTGCTGGCAGGTAAGGGCTTGCATGGGTGGTCTTCCCTGGGAGGAGCCTGGGAGCAGGAGACCTCACTCTTAGCCTCCATCAGCAAGGGGCAGGTGAGGGAAGGCCGCCTCCATTCACCATGACCAAAATCCAGGCTGGAGTCATGGACTGAGGAGATGTTTGTTTTCCAGCCTGAGCCAGCACACAGGACTGGAAAGGGTGGATGTCCCTGCAGCTTTGGGAGGTCTGAGGTTTTAAAAAATGCAGCCAGAGCACCACAGCAAGTAACAGACACCACGTGCTCCCTGCTTTGTCTCCAGTGGACCAGGCCTGACCTCCAGTGGCACTGGGCACATGGGAGGAGGGACCCCTTGAAGGACTGCTTGTACGTGTAGGTGTTGTAGTCCCCACTCACCTTTGTGGTCTTACCGAACAGGATGGGGTCTTCAAAGAGGAACACTTGCCTCAAATACTTTCTCCTTCCACAGCGAATGATGAATGCATCCTGGCATCTTAGTGGCCCCTGTTCCTTCAAATTCACCTGCAGACAGAGAAAGTCTCCCTCAGGGATGATTAGATTCCAGCTGATACATCCACCCTGGCCTCTGGGAAGGGGGCTTAAGACTTGAGTTCAATCCCCAATGGCCACTGACTCAATCAGTCCTGCTTGGGAATGAAGCCTCCCCCAAAGGCCAGGCTTGTAGTGTGCAGACTGGTGCACCCAGGGCAGCAGAGACTCACGGCCCTCCCCACATGCCCAGCTCTGTGTGGCTCTTCCCTCTGGCCCCTGAGTTACATCCCTTACAATAAGCTGGGAATATAGGAAGTAAAATGCTTCCCTAGGTTCTCTGAGCCACTCTAGCAAATTACTCAAACCCAAGGAGGGGGTTTTTGGAACCTTCAGCCTGTGACTGGGTGGGGTAGGGGGCAATCTCATGGGACAGAGCCCTTAACCTGTGGGGTCTGACACTGACTCAGGGAGATGGTGTCAGAACTGGGTTGAAGTATAGGACATCCAGCTGGGGTTCAAGAGTTGCCTGGTGTGAGGGGAAAACCTATACACTAGGTCTGGAACCGGGTGCCGAACCCTCTTCAGGTTCCTGTGCTTGCCGGTTCACACAGAGGGTCTGCGAAAGCCCTTTCGCGTATGTCAGTGCAGTTCCCCCACCCCCAGAATCCCGTCTGAGTGGCATCTGGGCTGATGCCGTGTGGGAGGCTGCAGTCTCTGCGCCCTTGCCAGGCAATTGCTCCCTTGTGATATGGGTCCCAAACAACAGCAGGTCTCTCCCACAGCCTTCCATCCTGAGGTCAGCCCCGTTTCAGCGAGGCATAGTGTTCTCATTCTGTGTGGGGAATTCTGTAGCCATGCCTTCTGACCTCCAGAGACAAGGGGTCCCATCTGAGAGGGCAGTCTCCTCTTCCTCATGTGCTGGTCTTGCCACGCCACCATGGGGGTGTGTGGGCATCGGCCTTAGCACCCCCAAAGCCCCACAGTACAGCTGAAATGTCGATGCATCCAGTTGATTTAAAACAGCTCCAATAAGTCTGGTCTGCAGCCAGCCTGCTTTTCATGCATGCAGCTACTGCTCCAGTGGCCCAGACATTGGGGTCCTTCCTCTCACCCTCCTGCCCCTCTGGTAGAGTCTCTGGGGGGGCCTCTGGGAGGTGTCTGTTTTGGGGACTTTCCTGAAGGAAAGTTCATGTGTTCTTGGCCCTGATCATGTTTTTCCACTGCACCAGCCCAGAGTCCTGAGCGCATGAGAGCCCATCAGGGCCTTGGACGCTTATGTCGCAGTTGCGGATGGCATCCACAGCAAGCAGATCGCTGCCGTGGCACAGCTGGAAGCGGACCATGTCCTTGGTGACTCCCAGTTCCCCCAGCTCCTACTGTTGGGTCGGGCAGAGGCCAGCCTCCTTGACTGGGTCCTGGAGCAGGAGCACATACTGACCCATGCGCTGCACGGGCTTCAGCAGGTAGGAGTCCAGGTCCATCTTGTCACCCAGCTCCCGTTGCTTGTCCTGCATGGGCAGGAGAGGGGGTCGGGTGCGACCAGGCTGGGGGTGACGCGGTTCGCGGGGGCGGGGGATGACCTTGAAGAAGGTGTTGCTGTGGCTGTGGAGCAGGGCGTCTGCCTGGGGCTTGTTCTTGCTGTAGAGCGTGTACAAGCCAAGCTGTTCCTCCTGTAGAAGAGAACACAGGGCACCTGAGCCTGGTGGGGTGGGAATCGCTGCTGTCCCTGCCATCCATGCATGTTCTCCCACAGGATGGAGGGAGGAGGCTAGAGGAAGGAGGCTGGAGGCAGGAGGCTGGAGGCAGGAGGCCGGAGGCTGAAGGCAGGAAGCAGGAGGCAGGAAGCTGAAGACAGGAAGCAGGAGGCTGGAGGCAGGAGGCTGGAGGCAGGAAGCAGGAGGCTGGATCCTGGAGGCAGGAGGCAGGAGGCTGGAGCCTGGAGGCAGGAAGCTGAAGGCAGGAAGCAGGAGGCTGGAGGCTGGAGGCAAGAGGCTGGAGGCTGGAGGCAGGAGGCTGGAGCCTGGAGGCAGGAAGCTGGAGGCAGGAAGCAGGAGGCTGGAGCCTGGAGGCAGGAGGCAGGAGGCTGGAGCCTGGAGGCAGGAGGAAGGAGGCAGGAGGCTAGAGCCTGGAGGCAGGAGGCTGGAGGTAGGAGGCAGGAGGCTGGAGCCTGGAGGCAGGAGGCTGGAGGCAGGAGGCAGGAGGCTTGGACCTGCATCAAGACTACTCACCTCCCGAAGGTGTGGGAGTGCCCCAGGCCTGATGCCAAGTCCTGGAATTGTTTTAAAGTAGAGTTTCAGGGAAGGGGCAAGAGGGCAAGTCTGGGAGGGTTCAGAATGGGGGGCTTTGAAATGTTACTAAGATTCAAGAGCCAAAGTTGTCCAAACTTTTCAAGAATTTAAAATTCTTGAAATTCTTGTCAAAAATACAGAAATTGCACCTTATGACTACAAGTGTCTTTCAAAAACTAGCTGAAAAGACATAACCTGTGGGATTTCTTTCATCTGTGGTGTTTTCCTTGTGGAATCTCTATTTAAAAGTGCTGAGGCAAATGTTTCATCTGCCCACAGTGCAGACCCCCTGGGTCCCTGTGCCTAGAATAGTGCCTGGTAAGCATTTGCTGAAAGAATTTTCTTTCCAAAGTGAATTAAGAATTTTGTGAAAGACCCTAATGGGGAGATGGTCCATACTCGTGGCTGAGGAGAGAGCAAGCAGCCCCCTCAGTTAATGTGTACATTCCATGTGCTTCTGTCAAGAGTCCCCACCAGATTCTCAGAACTAGGCAGGCCTTGCCCCAGGGAACTTTGGGAAGGGTTCTGAAGGGTCCAGTGGGCTTCCTGGATGTGGGAAACAAGCTTATTGGGACTTGCTTTGGCCGATTAGCCCTGGGCGTGAGGGCGCAGGGTGGTTACAGATCTAAGCGTGAGGATGTGAGCGAGATCCAGCGCATGTGGCTCTCCACAACGCTGTCATCAGGCGATGTGTACAGGGTGTGGCCAGTGTTGTCAGACCCACAGCTGCCTGCCTGTTGTGGGCCACTGGCTGGGCCACAAGTCTTACTGTGCCTAGGGACCCATGCCTAACCCCAACAGCAGTGCTCTGACTCTCTTGGCCCTGGGTTCCCTGCAGCCCAGAGGGACTCACGTGTCTGAGGAAACCCTGGCCCATGGCCAGTGGACAGAGCTCACAGCACTCCAGCTCCCTGCGGAAGTGCCAGCCCTGGAAGTCGTGGAGCTCCGCCCCATTCCCAAAGATAACATGGCTCTTCCCATGGAGGTCCTGGGGCAGGACTGCTCTTTCCATTTCTGGAAAATAGTTGCCGATGACATATCCTAAGGACCTGACATACTCCCTCTCTGTGGAAATCATCCCGGCCATTATGTGCTGTGGTCGGCGTCTGGAAGACAGAGAGCCGGTGGGACAGTCAGGCTGCAGGCAAAGGCCCCTGCAACAGGGCGTCAATGTTTCCGCCTCCTACCGAGACAGAAGCAATGGAAATCCAGAAGGACAGTGGCAGCGTGCAGACAGGAGGTTCCCAGCAAGCAGAGCACTTCCAGTCCAGCAATGACCACTCACAGGAGTGCTCCCAGCCCTGAGTCATTCTCTCACTGTTACCTGGAGTTGCTCCTTTGATGCAATATAAATAGGAAATATAAAAACAGGGAGGGATGCATATTAGCACAAAAAATAACTTCCCCATTATTGATCATGGCCTTTACAAATGAGAGATCCTTTTGGAAACTGAAAAGGTGAGATTCACAGGCTCCTGACTTAAGCCCGAGTCATGAGGCCTCTTGTTTCCAGAGGGTGTGATTCTAGCCCCTCTTCAGGGGTTGCTTCGGCGGGACATCCAAACACTCCCAGCAGGGAGCCTCTGCAAAGAAGGCTGTGGAGATTTATGGGGACATGGGTTTCTGATGCCCACCTGCTGCTAACCCACCAGAAGGTATTTCTGCAAAATCAGCTTTATATAGTGACATCTGACCCTGAGGCCAGGGAGGGATGTGAGCAGGGGGCAGACCTCTTCTCCTCCCCAGTTCCTGCTGGTGCCCAAGCACTGTATATGTCTCAAGGATGCACATGGTACCAATAGGCTTCACTTCACCTGGGCGCTGAGCAGAGTCTGCTGGTGAACTGGGGCCCCACCCTGCCAACAGCGAGGCACATTGCTTTCTTCTTTATTTGATAGCATCCTACCAGCAACTTTCTTAAAGTACTCAATCCCAATGACGCTAATGGGGGTGGCAAATTTTTTGCATATATTTGGTTTTTTCAAGTGGAAAAATTTACAGTGGTGGTCTGAAGAGCTACAGAGTGCACCCACTGCAGCTGGCTTGGAGAATGTGTGCTTTCCCACACCTGCACAACAAATTTTACAAATGCTATTGTTTTTGCAAAAATGGCACCTTCTGGTGGGTCAGTAACTGCTGCAGGCCTGGAGGAGCCCCCAGCAAACCAGAGGGCCACCATTACAGCAAGCATGGGCCATGGAGTCACCTCCTGTGAACACTCACTGAAAATAAGCATCCTTAAATACTCTGGAACAAAATAAAATTAGTTGTCTGGGTATTTGGACCAAATGGAAATTGACTTGTGGACATGATGGCTTGGAATTTTCTGGGAGATGCCTGCCGGCCAAGTGACAGGAACACCCCCAGACAGGCAGCAGGACTGTCTCCACTGTCCTGGTGTCTGAGGAGGGCCCCACTCCAGACCTGGGCTTGGTGGGTCTGTGGCCTGGATGCAGCAGGCAGGGGACTATCCTCAGGGCAAAAAGCAGGACAGGTCCCCACGTGTTCTCCTGGACCCAGAACAACCAAGGGCTGCTCTCAGCAGGTGGACAGCCCAGCCCCTGTGTTCTGCAGCCCCTAAACCTTCAAAATGAGCTTGGTGGAGCTGGAAGGTGGTTCACAAACCTGGTGCCTTCCCTGCAATGCAGATGCTCCCAAGTCCCCAAAGTCCCACCTTTTAAGGAGCACATTGTAACTGCCAGAGGTAGGGAAACTTGAAGGAGTGTTTCAGAAGACTTATGTAACCCCCTCAGGTCAGATTAAGGCCTGTTTTGGAAGACACCTACCTCCAGCCAGTCCACCGCTCACTAGAGAAATGGACAAACAGGCACGGGACAAGCAATGCCCAGCAATGCTGCTATCTGCCATTAGGCATGGGTGGAGTTCTTGCTCACTTTTATCCAAACTATTAATAAGAAAATGTTTACATTTTCTTAAATATTTGACACATTAAAAAGGACACATCTGTTTGGGCAATAGGTAAATGGGTGTATATCTCTAGTCTCAACACTTAGGGTCTTTTTGTAAAAGCAATTTTTAAGGTAAAATTTTCATATTGTGGCCTTTATTTGCCTTTTGTAAATTTCTAAAATCAGGGCTCCTTAAATAACTAGACTTGGTTATGTAACCATCAGAGTGGGTATGCCACATTACCTCAGGTCATGGAAAAGAAGCAGTTTTCAAGGATTCTGTTCTAAACATGGAAAGTAATTAACACCTTGCTTAAAAGCAAAGGCACACGTGTTTCAGCCTGGACTGGACAGGATGGGCTGGGAGGGGTGCCTATGGATTCTCTGCTTTGTAGGAGCACATGGAATGGCTCTGGGTGTCTAGATCTCCACTGAGCACTGGGCCTGAAGGCCGGAGGGCTCCCTTCTCACCTTCCTGCTCTCTCTCTTCCTCCCGTCGTCCTCACAGGGCCGGGTCCTGGTGGGAGAGGACAGACTCCGGTTCCGAGGGGGGCTCTCAGCACCCTGGCTCAGGGGTCCACCTTCTCTGGGGCTGTGGCAGTGGTGGTCTCCAGTCCTCTGACGAAGAACCCCGTGTGGCCTGGCCAGTGCCCATTCCTGGGGCCACAGCCTAATGGAATCTCAAAGCTTTGTGTTTTCTTCATGATTTTCTTCAGGGGGTGTTTCCTGGGGTGGCCACTGGGTGTCTGCATGAGTTCAGAGTAGGTGGAGCTGTTGTCCAGGACATGCACACCTGGGCCCAGGTGCCCACTCTCCTGCCCACACAGAGTGGTTTGTCCAGGGAGCGGTGGGGCCCACTGTCCAGTGTGGACCTCGGGGTCACTGAGGCAAGTCCAGGATTGCTTATGGTGTCCCCTCTCAGCCCTCTGAGCAAGCACCTGCTTCAGGGGGCTCCAGTTCAAAGGTGGGGCACCGGGGCCCGGGTGGTCACAGAAAGGGCCTCTTGAAGCTGCAAGGCCCTGTGCCACTGCTGCAGGGCCTGCTGGCCGCCCAGGCCCCACCCCACTGCCTTGCCCAGGGAAGCTCCCCACAGTCACCTCCGTGGGCTCCTGTTGACATCTCTTTAGATACTAGGGAACCGGCTCTCGGCCCAAGGGTTCTGGGAGCTCACGGCACTAAGGCATCCACCCACCCACCTGCACAGCAGAGGAGCGAGCTGGTCAGGGCAGCAGGAGGCCACCGCTGCCAAGATGGCCTGGAAGGCCTGCCTGATGCTGTGCGGCCAAGTGTGGCTGGTGTGAACTCAGGTCACAGGACTGCTATGCAGGTCACTCAGACGCAGGACCAGGGTGAGCCAGACGGAGAGGCAGGAAGACCCCTCTGCCCACAGTGGCAGCTGCTGGCTGGACTTTCCCACTGGGAGACCAGGTGAGTTTGTGTCTGAGCCTGAAGGGTTTGTGTCCCGCAGCAGTCAGAGTGTTTGCCTCAGTGGGAGGGGAGGGCCTGAGCTTCCCTTTGTCAGAGTAAAGCCCTGGGGAGGATGGGATGAGTGTGAGAAGGCTGCCCCCACGCTCCTGTTGAGCTCTCTGAGGAGAAATGGGTGTGCAGGTTAGGATGGGTGTTTTCTAAACCCTTCAACATATTCGGGTTTGACTGTTACTGAACTGGGAGCAGGCAGGCTGTGCTGCATGACTGTGCTGCAGTGGTAGAGTTCCTACTGCTTCTTGGAAAAATTAGCAAATTACCGTGTTAGAAACTTTTCTTTCTTTTCTTTTTTTTTGTTTTGGTATCATTAATCTACAATTACATGAGCAACATTATGTTTACTAGACTCCCCCCATTACCAAGTCCTCCCCACATACCCATTATAGTTGCTGTCCATCAGCGTAGTAAGATGCTGTAGAATCACTACTTGTCTTCTGTGTATACTGCCTTCCCGGTGTCCCCCACCCCCTACATTATGTGTGCGAATTGTAATGCCCCCTTTTCCCCATTCTCCCTCCCTTCCCACCCATCCTCCCCAGTCCCTTTCCCTTTGGTAACTGTTAATCCATTCTTGGGTTCTGTGAGTCTGCTGCTGTTTTGTTCCTTCTGTTTTTTCTTTGTTTTTATACTCCACAGAGGAGTGAAATCTTTGGAGACTTGTCTTTCTCCACCTGGCTTATTTCACCGAGCATAACACCCTCCAGCTCCTCCATGTTGTTGCAAATGGTAGTAGGATTTGTTTTCTCCTTATGGCTGAATGAAATTCCATTGTGTATATGTACCACCTCTTCTTTATCCATTCATCTACTGATGACACTTGGGTTGCTTCCATTTCTTGGACATCTACTGGGTGAGAGCGTCGATCACGTGAGTCTTGCGGTTGCAGGCGCTGCCGCCGCCATATTCAAAGTCAGTAGCATCGCGAGCGCCGCTGAGAGAAGCCGGTGGTGCTGCTCCCTCAGTGTTCGGCCGGCCGGGAGGAGCTGCCCGAGCCGTTCTGTCCACGCAGCGGGCTGAGCGGAGACCGGATGCTGAGGAACCCGCGCCTGCTTGGCTGCACCGTCCTTCCGGCGCGCATGCGGGGGCGGCACCGGCCCGGTCTTGGAGCAGCTGCCACCGCCGGACTTCAGACAGCTCGTCGGAGAAGTGGCTCCCGCTCCTGCGGATCTGCGGTGGAGGGTCCAGAGAGGGCCCTGCTTCAGGGTGAAGGCGACAGTGACGGCTCTGCGGGCCAGAAGGTACGTGGCCGCGGAGCGCGGCGGGACCGGGACGGGGCGTGGGGAACCCTGCCTCCGCCTGAGGGCGTGGGGGAGCCGGACGAGGGGCGGCCGTGCGAGTGGCTCGGCGGGCGGCGCGTGGCCCGCGGTGCCGGGAAACGGCCGACGCGGGTGATGGGCTCGCGGGGCCCGGAGTTGGCGCGCTGCGACGGAGGGGCCGCCCGGGAAGGGAGGGAGCGGAGCGGGTGCGCCCGGGGCGGATGTCCGCGCGGCCGGTGAAGTTCGCCGGGGTTGGGGGTAGGGGTGCGCCGGAGCCGCTGCTCCTCCATCAGGCCCGGGTGGTGAAGGCGGCTGCTCTCTGCCCCTCGGCGCGCGTCCGCCCTGCTCGGGGCCGCCCCGCCGACCTGCCCGGGGCCGCAGACGGGGAGGCTGGTGGGCGTTTTGCAGTGTGTGGATTTTCTCGGCGGGGACCTCGAGGGCGAGGGCCGGGCGGGCTGAGGTTCAAGTGTGACTCGCGGTAGGGTGGCGGGCGAGAGGCCGCCCAGAGGCAGCGCCTTTAAAATTAAAATTTATCTCAAGAGGTACTTCTCGTGTCTTTTATTTGGGAATGAAGTTTCTTTACTTTGGTCTGGGAACTGACAGTTTAGTTTATTGTATTTAGAAATTCATATCTTTCTGTAATTTCGGTTTGTAATCTGCAGCTGATTAAGTTATAACCAGCCACAGGGATTCTGAGACGGGGACCGTGGGTGTAGTCAGAGTAGGGTGAGGGCCTCAGGAAAAAGACCCCCGCCAAACCTCCGTATTAAACAATTCAGCAAAGTCTGAGTCAAATACCAAATTAGAAGTATAAGCATTCTTCAGTGAAGATTAGTTAAAACTAAAAAGCCAGGAGTAACCCTGCCTGGAATGTTGGTGTAAACTTCCCCCGGATAAGAAAATGCCTCCATGTAGCCCATGACTTCATTGTGTCAGTTAAATGAAGATGTTGTAACATTTAGTTCAGCCGGATAAAAGGCCCAGTTTAACTTTGCCCAGATGCTGCTTTTCCTCCTCCAGCCCCTAATCAAGTGATACATAACCTGGGCAATTAATATGGCAAGTAAGCCCAGTCACACGTAGTAAAAGGCAGGAAGCATCCCATCTTATAGATAAGCTTGCATTTTAACACTCAGGAAGTTAAATAGCCCGTGACTTCATTGTGTCAATTAAATGAGGATGTTGTAACATTTAGTTCAGTCGGATAAAAGGCCCAGTTTAACTGCCCAAATGCTGCTTTTCCTCCAGCCCCTAATAAAGTGATACATAACCTGGGCAATTAATATGGCAAGTAAGCCCAGCCACAAACAACGTAGTAAAAGGCAGGAAGCATCCCATCTTAAGATAAGATTGCATTAACACCCAGGAAGTTAAACAGGTAAGATTCTTTTTTAAAATTTTTTATTAAAGTATTATTGATATACACTCCTATGAAGGTTTCACATGAAAATTACTACATTCATGCATGAGACACCCCCCCCACACACACATCATACCTCACTGCAGTCACTGTCCATCAGTGTAATAAGATGCCGCAGATTCACTATTTGCCAAGAAGCAATTAAGTTGCTCTTGGCTTTTTGAACTTTGATTAATTTTGGGTCTTTTTAGTGGACTTTCTGGCCTTTTTCTCTTTCACCCCCGCTCATAGCTAATTTCCTGCCTAACAAAGAGGTTTCCTTTTTGTCTTTTAGAGGGTTTCATTTCCTGCCCAGAAGCCATTTAGTTTGATGTAGCCACACTTGTCTACTTTTGCTTTTGTTTCCCTTGCCTGGGGACACATATGCAGAAAAAATTTGCTGAAACCAACATCCAAGGCTTACTACCTATTCTTTCTCTAGAGTTTTATGGTTTCAAGTCTTACATTTGTAAAAATAAACAAAAAACTGTTTGATCCCCCCACTAAACCTAAGACGTGCTTTTTGATTTTCAGTCTCTTTGTCCTCCAGAGACTTGTTACATTGATCATTCATAAGACATACCCATTTCCTTTATTCACTGATTTATTTAGGATTGCTCTTTCTTAAAATTGGTAAGAAGTAAATACAACTTTTTCTTTCCTCAGGTGGTTGTGTTTATATACTAAAGATACATATCCATGTTAATATGTGTAGCTCTAGTTCATTCATTTTAACTGGTTTATACTATTTTGTTTTATAAACATACCACAACCTTTTATTTTTCCAATATTTCACTATACAAATAGTGCTGAAATTTACATTTTTGTATATGACCTCTTTGCACATGGATGAGAACTTTTCTGGATTCTGTATCTGGAAGTGGAATTGCTGTGATGGAAATGGCATACAGCTTCGATTTTACTATGTATTGCTTAATATTTTTATACAGTGTTTATAACAGCTGGCACCACCAGTGCATAAGAGATTTCCTGCTGTACATTTTTGCCAATCTTTGGGATTTCCTTGTTTTTTGCCTTCCCATTTCCTCTGTATAGAACTTGCTATGAAGTCCAGTAGATTTTACTTCTACAGTTTTTTTATTTCTAGCTCTTCTTTGCCCAGCCATGAAGTAAGAAAAATTTTTGATTCATTTTATCTCATTCATAATCATCTCCATATTTTTGACTCTACTGCTACAATCTTAGATGAGACCCTTAATTCTTGCCTAAACTATTGTAGCACTATTTGTATAGTCTAATAGTCTACAGACTATTGTGGTATGTTTATAAAACAAAATAGTATAAACCAGTTAAAATGAATGAACTAGAGCTACACGTATTAACATGGATGTATATCTTTAGTATATAAACACAACCACCTGAGGAAAGAAAAAGTTGAATACTGCAATCTCTCTATTGGAAATCTCTTCCTGCTCCAATCCATGCTGCTTAAAACTGCTACATCAGTATTTCTCATGTAAGTAGTTTATCATTGTTTGCAGTGTTAAATTTAAACACTTAATGTGGTACTCAGGGTTATCTATTATAAGGTCCTAAACTACCTTTTCAACCACTATTTTCTGCGTATGCCCTGTACACAGCCAGACTAGATTACCTGCATTTATTAATTCATTCAAATAGTTGATAATTAATGCTTGTACTATACTATACAGGCATATTGACCCTTGAGTTTTGTAGGTACTATTGCTATAAAATGAACAACTCAAGATTCTTGTTATTGGGAGCTTGCAACTGACTTCAGGCTCTTCTGTGAATAAACCCAATGTTTTCAGCCTCTGTTCCTCAAACAAGTTTTACCTCCGCTTGTGATGCCCTTTTTCCTAGTTCTTCCACTTAGCCTTTACCTTTCAAAATCCTACATACTTTTCAAGGCCTGCTTCAGGAGGCACCTCTCCATGAAGCCTTTTATAACACCTGCAGTTAATTTTGCTCCCATTCTACTATATTTATATAGATTTTTTGGCAATTACTATGTTCCATGACTACTTTGTCCATTTATATTGCCTTTGTAAAACTTAACATGTCTTATATATGGTAGGCGTACTATTAACTAAAGTAAAAATTCAGTTGAAAATAATATATTAATTAAAACCAACCTCAGCAATTAGACTATTTTGGGAGGAGATTAATTTGAATTAGGAAAGATGCTTAATTATATAATGATATCTAGTGCTCTTTAAAACATGATAGAATAAATTAAACTAAATTGAATAGTAGGTTTCTATAAAGAGATCTTTAGGGCTCACTTTGATCAATAATGAACTTTACTTGTGATTAGTGTAACAGTTACTCAGTTTGTTTTTAGACTTTTAAGTAGTTCCTTTAAGGCAGAGTTTTCCAAACTGCACTTTGAGGAATCCAATGAGTTTATTCTGTTGAGATGCTTTGGCTACTGCTGGATGCCATCCCTGCCCCAAAGCAGAGTCCTTTATTTATATTTTACTATACTGGGCTCCTTCCTAAACAAAATTTTATTTAGGAAAGACTCTTATGATGAAATTGTTTAAAATAGTCGCTGAGTGTAAATACTTCAACTTTATCCATGTATTTAAGATTTTCCAAGATCTTATAAAAAGATAATAATCCCTCTTACTTCTCTATGACCACAAACTGCAGATCAGTAGTTTATAATGAATATGAGACTTGAAAAAGTAAAGCAAATGATATGTAAATGGGCTTTGGGTATAGCAGGTAAGCTGTCTGTTCTCTGAATATTCTGTATCTGAATTTGAATTTTTGAGGAGTTAGAATATCAGAAATTACTGGAATTGATATACAAATTGTTAGGTAGGCTGAAGAATTTTCAATATCATGGCTTGTAAATTTTAATGTGTGTAAAATTATGATTCAGTACATGTAGGCTGGTGCTTGAAATTCTGATTTTCTTAATGCAGTTTCAGTGTTGCTGGACTGTGGGCCACATTTTGAGTAGCAAGGAGCTAGCTGACTTTCCAAAGCCTATCACCACATTTTAGGACTGCAGTCTTGGTCCTAGATAGCAGGTTTTCATTATTACTATAGACATTTGCTTAAACTGCCTGTTTCTCTACAGTCTGATTTATATTTTGCCATTTTAATAGAAATTTTTGGCTGTAGCTCTAGGAGTAAGGAGTGGGGGGGTTCCCCTCCAGAAATAAATTCCAGTGAAACCAAAGTAAGTCAAGGGAAAGGGCAGGCTGGGAGAAACCACTGTTAGTTATTGTTCACAGCTCCAGGTGTCCTCTCGGCATATGCCCTATAAGCACTGCAGGCATGTGCTTAATTTTGTTTGGCTGAGGCTGTTTTAGTTGGTATTGGTATAAGCACTGCTTTTTTTTAAGAAGCAATTGTTATTGTCATGAATTAACAGCAATTATATGCCACAGCAGGTTAAGCTGTTAATTTTATCTGTAGCACATGTGAATTGAAAACCTAATTTGTGTAAACAACCAATGAAACATACAGTTATTTAGCTAAATAGCTTATACTCAAAAAGAAATGAATCAATTTTGAGGGTCATTAATTTTATTTAAAATATACAATAACTTTTCATAGTCTTGGGCTTTTATAGAAAATTATAACTAAATCATAGATTTAAATAATAATTTTTTAAGAAAACTCAGAATTATTTACTTTTGATAAATGGAAATTAGTAATTAACTTTGTAGAACAGGACAGCAGAGCAGTTTTGGGGGAAAATTACAATTTTTATCTAAACACATTAGAATAATTTTCATACTGATGGTTATTATGTCAGCCCTACATTATTTCACTTAATTGTCAGTAGTAGAAATTGATGCAGGAATTACATTATTACAAAAGTGACTTTTAAAAATATATTCTTATTTCTTATCAAGTAGGTACTAACATTGCTATAAAAGTTTTCATGTGCAATTTATGTCAGATGTTGCAATTCTGAATAGAAATAAACTTCCTTTGTTCTGGTATCATCCATTGATTTTTTTTCTCAAAGATACTTTAATAGTGCTGATAGATGCAGAACAGTTGGAATTTACATTAAAAATAAATGGCATGAATAAAAAGCACTACACTACAACATTATAGCCTTGATTTTTCTTTACCAAAGTTCTAAAATCTAAAGGACAAAAATACTGA